GGGGGAGGAGAGATATCCTCCCTCCCAGTCAGGGAAGTTCATTCATTTGCGCCTTCCAAATGTAGGCACCTAAATTTAAGCAACGGAGGCCTCCTTCATGGAGACAAAGGAGTTGGCTGGAAGCTGAGCCTGGGGCAGGGGACACAGAACCCCAAAACCTGAGGCTGAAATTCTAAGCATGGCTGAAGTAATAATAATCGCATGCTATCCATTGGATTCCAACGGATTGGCGAGCCCATCCATAAGGTATAGGCATAGAATGCTGGGCTTCACCGTTGCCTTCTTTGGTGAGGTTGACGGTCCAGCTGGCCGGGGGCTACCCAGGCTGGCTCTTCTCCCAAGAGACATAGTGGGGAATCGAACTCCCAGCCTTTATCCCACAACCAGGTATCTACCTCCCTGGGCTATCCAGCACCATCCGATACTCAGTGATGTGCTTGGGGATAAAGGGCTAGGATGAAGTTCAAAGCGTCAGGCAGAATGGGACACTAGCTTCACATGAGGATGCTGGAAAGTAGCCAGGGCTACTTTGATCATGTTTCCCTCCACTGCTGTTCCTTTCCACTGCAGAATGGAGCTATGTATGCTGCAGGATTTGTCCCAGATCTTTACACTAGCTTTCTGCTCTCAGGTGCGCCGCTGTTGAAGCCAGGCTAAACTCCTGATGGCTTCTATATGTGGAATGAGGAGATGCATATCATCTTCCTCTTTGCCTCAGGCAGCAGAAGGTGTTGGGTCATCTGTTAAGAAGAAGCCCTGAGGGTGTGAATAGAGAGCTGGTGTCCCATCGCAGATAAGAGATTGATGGGGGATGCGGGAACTCCCAAGAGCGAGGCTCAAATTAGAGATAACAAGTCACTAGAAAAAGGAAATCTTTAAGCACTGAAAGAGACTGGCTCTTACAAAAGAGGTTCTTCGGATCCACGTCATACTTTGCAAATTAGGTTTTGTGATTGGTCACCAGGAAATACACTGGAGTTTACTTGCAAGGATGCTTGTTCAGACACAAAACACTTATCTCTGAAACACTGACAAGATTTCAGCTTCTAATGACGTGCTATCTGTAATGTACACTATGATTTGGAATCTTGTCTCCACCATTGACTCACTAGGCAGCCTTGGGAAAGTTATATTTCCCTTGTCTTGGTCTCTCCATCTCCATTGCAGGTAAAAATAATACTGGAGTATGAAAAAGCTACTAATTGTAGAACTGCTGCTCTTAGAATCCCTAAGATGGGGTGTTCTGGGGAGTTCCAGTTCAAGAAATCAATTTTTCTCCAAGCCCTCCCAGGAAGACAAGCCAGCTCCCCAGGTCCATTTCTTGCACCTCTTCCTGGAACATCACCTGTGTATCCTTTTCTTCTCATTCCCTGGCAGGAGAACAGCCAAGAGGTCAAGCAGGCTTTGTGTGAGAAATTTGAAGCCCTCATCGCCATCTTGGAGGAGAAGCGAAGCGAGCTGCTGGAACGCATCTCCAAGGAGCAAGAGGAGAAGGTCGGGTTGATGCAGAACCTCATCCAGCAGTACAAGGACCAGCTGGAGAAGTCCTCTAAGCTGGTGGAGTCCGCCATTCAGTCCATGGAGGAGGAAGCAGGGGCTGCTTTCCTCATGGTGAGTAAAACTTGTATATATCGGGGGAAAGGACACCCAGTGAGGAACTGCTCTTGGTCCCTGTCTAGAAATGGGGCGGCAGATTGTCCTTTCCCTAGTTTGCTAAAACTTTAGAGGAACTCAGCCGTACAAGCCTTCAACATGGTTGTATCTGTAGGGTTTATGTTTCACCTCTTGAAGGCACACTCTGCTCAGAGCAGAACAGAGTACAGTATTTGGAAAAAAATTACAGTATTTTTCCATGTATAAGACTATACTTTTGTCTAAAATCTTTAGACTAAAAATTGGGGGTTGTTTTATACACGGAAGTAAGCTGAGGAGAGAACAAAAACAAGTGGAGGGGAAAGCAGCGATCAAAGCGATCCTATAGCACTTTGATCCCTTTCCCCTGCATTTACTAAGCCCCACTTAGATTTCTTAATTTTGGATTAGAAAAGTGGGGGGTGTCTTATACATGGGGGTGTATTATACATGAAAAAATATGGTACTTCTCTGGACTACCATTCCTAAACCTCAAGCCCTCATGTGTTCCAGATTACAAAATATGTGGACAGGTTACTTGGAGTAATGTAAGCAAAGCCTTAGGCGGAATACAAAAACTGACATGACCATCATCACCCCCAATTGTGCTATGCTGTAGAGCTTGGTAAAAAAATTAATTCTTTAGATTCTATCCTTCTACAGCCACCAGGGGCCACTGCCTGCACTGTGTAAGAGATCTTGGCAGTTATAGTCAAGATACAAGCTTTTCTTAGCTCTGGCAAGGAAAAACAGTCACACAAGGGTTGCTCGACAAACGGGTTCCTTTAGCAGCGGGCACACATTGCGTCTCCATAAGTATTTGCCTTCCTGATGATGAACATCACTTCCCATATCCATACGTAAAACCAGACGCCATTCTCCTTTGAAAAATCAGCATGCTTCCAAATGTTTCAGCGCAGTTCGGCAATTTAAAAAATATGCAAACAAAAAAGTATACATTGAAAAAAGTGCACAAAACCCTCTTTATGTTATCCGAGTTGCTTGCAAACATAGGGAAAGTTCTGAATGAAAACGTATGCAATGAAAAGTACATATAATATGCACTAATAAGGGACACTGTGCACCAAAGTGCACACAGATTTCTCCAATGTTGCCTCTATGTGACAATATATTGTAAAGCAATGGCCATTCTCATGCCCAAGATCATTCCATAATATTTTCTCACATCCTTGCTTTTTAAGAAAACGTTACTAGCAGTATTAATTAATGTGTCTTTGTTGGCTTTTCTGTTTCTGTTGTTGCTTTCTGTTTCACATGACTGCAGTATTACCAATGAAATATCCCTTAATTAGTCTGCATTGGTTTCTCATTTCAGAGACTTCAGTTTTTTATGTTATTTACTTTTAAACTTATACCTGCATTAGCATTGCTAATCAGCAGTTACATAGCAGAAACAAAATAAAGATTTATTGGCTGAAATGTAGCCGTGTTTACCAACCAATGACATAATCAGCCACAACGGTTTTTCAGAAATTAAAAAAATTCTGATTCCCACCTCCCTGCCCTCCCCCCAAAAAAGGTGCAAAGACTCCTGGGATCACTTGTGGGGAAGTCGTTAAGAGTAAAAGGGGTGGAGGAGTCTTTAATTTCTGCAAATCTTGAGGAGAAGAGGGGACATCCATCTGACAGATAAATAAATAAGTAAAACTTTGCAACGTGCTATTGGCAGGCCTGAATTCTGAACCGAGCTGTTGATATTCACTAATAACCTGTTTCTTCCTCTTTCCCGCCCACTCCTCGCAGACTGCCAAGCAGCTCATTAAAACGTAAGTCCTTGAACATGTTTTTTCTAAATTGCAGCTACGGCATGCCAATGATGTTGTCATTGTTCTTAATGAAGATGGGATTCTAATGGGAAAACCCCTCTGTCTGAAAGCTCAAATAGAAGACTTCTTTTCAACACTGACTAACTTTGAACGGATGTATTGTTTTGTGGGGTTTTTTTGGGTTGCAGCACTCCTGTTGACCAAAGGCCAAGGGCCAGTTAATCATCCTATGTTGCACTGTGCCGAAACCAAATTGTTTAACTTCTAGTATCTTGAATGCTACATGCTTGAACTGCTACAGCTCAGCTTTAAGGGGGTGTGATGTGGTTTTAACAGGCTGACGATGTTCTCATGTTTGGCGATGCTGATGCTGGCGAGGATTGGCGGGCCTTTTGCTGCTGGGGGGGGTCAAAGAGCAAACGGCTCCCCTTTCCCCACCTAAGTCAACTTGCTTATTGCTCAAAGCAAGATATCTCACTTGGGCATTTAATGCAGGAAAGGTGACATCCACAACCCTGGAAGTAAAAACAAGATAACATCAAAATCAGTAACTAGGTAGATGCTGCCCATTCATGAAGCGCAGTCTGCTGGCCTGAAGTGGTCATATCGCCCAGATAGGCAGTGTATAAATAGAATGAACGAATGAACGAATGAACGAATGAACGAATGAACGAACGAACGAACGAACGAATGAATAAATAAATAAATAAATAAATAAATAAATACAATAAATACAATAAGGTACAAATGAATGATAAAAATAATTACCCTACCAATGCTAATTTGATAGTTCAGCTTAATAGCTGTCTTTAAAAACCTTTGCATTTTTGGATGATGACATTTAATAATAACAACAATAATAACAATCATAATATTTATATTGCACTCTACACCAAAGTGCATTCAAATAAAATCAATGATGTACAAATATGCAACATAATACTTAAGTATTGTTATTAAGTTGTACTTTAATTAACTTTAATATTTTGTGTGTGTGTGTATGTGTACACACACACACATATACACATCAACATAGAACTCAGAATTGTCAATGGTCAAGAAGTAACCAACTGCTAACAAACCATTTTTAAAAGTTCAAATAAAATGTGCTGATATTTAACACCCATCTGCCATGGGCCATTGTGCCCTAAAAGCCGATGATAAAAACGAATAAATACATTTCTCGTATACGGAGAGATGGGGGTGTTTATTGACAACGTGACTGAAACACTCAGGATTGATTGCTGGTCGAACCAATGTCTTTTAGGCAGAGGTCGGAGCCCTGCCAGCCAGCATGAGCTCCAGATTTCAGGAGGTCTTAGGCAGACCACTCCTCAGGGACCCCCACTCTCCTCTAAGAGGCTTTGGGCGGCCTAGAGACTTCCAAGAAGCCTCAAGCTTTTTTGGTTCTCCTGGGCGCCATTTTGTTTCTATAACACCTGCAGTGTAGTGGTGTCGGAGGAACAGCCAATGGTGCGGAAAACCATAGAGCAGTTGGTCCTCCTGGAAATCAGGGGCTCTAACAAGCGGCTTTGAGAATACAAGAAGTTGGTGCCAGTTCTGTCCTCCATCACGTGGTAGACAAAAAGGGGTCTCTGTTGTGTTCCCTCTCTTTTATTCTACTTCTGCAGAAGATAATCAAAGCTAATTCAAATGGTATATTTGTGAAGGCTTTCACAGCCGGGATCTAATGGTTGTTGTGGGTTTTTCGGGCTCTTTGGTCATGTTCTGAAGGTTGTTCTTCCGAACGTTTCGCCAGTCTCTGTGGCCATGGGCATCTTCAGAGGACAGCACTCTGTGCTCTGGTGTAGTTGGCTTGGGAGTGCTTTAAAATACTGATAGATTCTCCTTATGTTAATCTCAAGCAACACAGTCAACTGAATCAGTGGGATAAGAGCTGCATTTGAAGCACAACCGTAGCAAGATGAAAGCAACACCCCCCTTGTCCCATTTTGTTTTCTCCATAGAATCGTGGATGCATCGAAGGGAGCTCAGCTGGAAAAAATAGAGCCAGGATTTGAAAACATGGACTATTTCACCCTAGACCTGGAGAATGTCAAGGAAGTCTTGAGGAGCATTGACTTTGAGGGAGGTAGGATCATTTTGCACCCTTTCAGCATGAATAATTGTCCTTAGAAGGTCACAGTACTCAACAAATTAGGCCCCACGAAGATCTGTAGAAACAGGAAAGATCTTACTATCTTCTGAGGTATCAAATACACACTCCGTTTAGGTCCAAAATGACTGTGGTTGGCAGAGCCAAGTATTGTGAGATGAGGGGTGAAGAACAATTGATCGGGTTCTGATCCATGGTTTTGTGACCCCCAAGTCTTGTTGAAAGACCAGGGGGACCTGGCCGCCAAAATCCAAAGATCTGCAAGGCTGTGGTCAGTAGAACTTGCAAAGGAGTTGGCTCACCAAATCCCCACTGATTCAATGAGCCTACTCTAGTTGCAACTGACTTCAACCAATGTATAGCAATGTCCTAAAGTCTGGGAAAAGTTGCTTTGTAAACTAAAACTCCCAGTGTCCCCAAGCCTCTAGGGAAACGGGGCCCCAAATGACCTTAAGCAGGGGCTACTTGGTCGAAAACATAATTCTAAATTTTCTGCATTGCATTTCTGCCTTCTTTATTTTTTTTAAAGATGAAGATGAGGAAGAGGTAAATGAGGAGGAAGAAGGAGCAGAAGAAGAGGAACCTCAGGTTGGCAAAGCAGATGGTATGTGTGCCCCCTCTCCCCCCCCAAAAGATGTAGGCTTGAGAAGGAAAAAAAGAGATGACATTAAACTTTTTAATTGGGTGGTTCCTCCCGTGTATGCACATCCCCGGGCAAACCGACCAACTGGAGCCTAGAACACCATGAGTACCATTCAAAATGGCTTTTGTGCACCACAGAGATTAAATATTTCCTATGTCTAGCTGTAGACCTCAAAAATGTGTTATGCAGATGTTGGGAAAGCTGCTCTCTCTCTCTCTTTGTAATACAACTCTCAGTAGTAGAGATGGGCACGAAGCACTGTTTCGTCGGTTTGTGCCACTTTATTGACCGAACAGATATTCGGTGCTTCAAAGCCCTGCCTCCCCCAGCAGGCACCCACTCAGAAGCTGTTGCTCAAGGAGGCGGGGCAGAGAAGCCAGGCTGCTGCCTCGGAGTGGGCATCCACCAGAGGAAGTGTGGAAGCACCAAACTCCTGTTCAGCCAATCAACGAACCGGTGGTTCGTGCCCATCTCTGTTCAGTATCCCTTGCTGAGGGATACGTGGCTGCAGCATGTTTCCACCACAATTGTTATGGCTTTCCTTTCTGCTACTTCCCGTGTCACTGGAGGCCACTGATGGGAGTCCCAAAATGAGGATGCCACGTGATGATGTCGAGGCTGGTTTCAGCAGCATCCCAGTGATGATGTACATCACCGATCAAAAGCAGCTTGAGTTCTTTATTTCTGCTCCTACCGTTATTCTAAAAATACCCCCGAGGGTATTAGAAGCAACAGTGCCCTCCACTGGCTATATTGGGGACAGCCACGGGCAGCTGCCACCGAGGAAGATCTGTAGCACCACCAATTGCCCCACTATAAGTTTGTCATTGTGATCCATGTTGACTTCTTGATCCTCTCTTGCTGGAGACTAGAGAGTCCCACAGCTATGATGACCTGAGCTGTGGCAGATCTAAATCAAGGTGGGCGTAAGGCAGCCTGTGCCCCATGCAACCCCCTTGACCCTCTTAGGATCCCACCATCTGATGTACCATCATTAAAAATTAGATCCAAAGCTTTCCCTTCCTCCCCTCGGGGGGGGGGAAGGGGCACAGGAGTCTACCTGGCCACATTTGGAAGGTACCCTCGGCTGTTTTAGGCTCAGGTGAGGCCTTTTCTCCAAACCACAGTTTTTAAAACAGTGCTTGAAAATAGCTGAGAGAGAGAGAGAGAGAGAGAGAGAGAGAGAGAGATGGCATTGCATGCTATGGCCACTAGAGGGTACCACGGAGCTGTTTCAGTTTTTTCATTAAAACATTTTTTTTACAAAAAATATTTTGAAAGGAGGGATGCCAGAGCTGTTGCAAGATCCAGTGGTGGGTGAGCGCTGACTCCAGGCTTCTAGAATTTGCCCACCCCTACTATCAAGGATGCTTTGGTTGCATCCAAACCAATCCCTACCCCACCCCAAAAAAATTTTTTTTAAATTGATCCAGCAAATTCTAATGCCTCTCTTTCTTGCCTTGCCAGGGTCTGCTCTCTCTTAAACTTTGCTCTTATTGTCACATGGGTTTCTTTCATTGAATGGGTCTCTTCAATATCTTTTCGCCCCACCAGATGCTCAGTAACCAAAGAGGAAACAATGACTTCCAGGAGGAAAAGAGAAATCTACCTATGCAGATTATTGTACAATCGGGGAAAGGAGGAAGAGATGAAGGAAGGGAGAGAGATGGGGTGGTAGGAAACCCAAACTAAATGCCCTTAGAAGCAAGAGGAAATGATTTGGGACAAACGTCAGCTGAAGCAGAGCCATTGGGAAGTGGAATTCGTGGCAATTCGAGAAGAAAATCGTGCACAAAGACACTTTTATACACGGGTGCAAAATGGAACTTTTCATACATTTTATATGTTGTGTGTTTTTTTTTGTACATAATTGGAATGGCACTTGAATTTCTTTGTTTTGTTTTTTTATTTTTGTAAAGGAAAAAATGCATTTTCTTTTTTTCCTTTTCCTCAGAACACCCTTCGTTAGACTTGAAAGATGTTAATTATGGGAATTTAAGCATTTTTATTTATTTATAATTTGTTTTGCACTTGTTTAGAATGGACAGTAGAAAAGACAGGAATATTTAGTGTTTAGGCCTTAGGAAACAGAACAGAACTACTGTAGCTTTTGTGAACTTTTTTGATCTAGAGAAAAGTAGGAAAGAGTGTTTCTTGATCTTACTGCTTGTACTTTTTAAAAAGATGTCTGCTGATTTTTCCTCTTTATGTATATAAATACACAATAAATGGATTCCAGGTTGTTTGATAACAAACTAAAACAAACTTTCATAGTGGCAGTGTTTATATCAAAGTTATTCGAATCTAATGTCTGGAAGCTTCGATGAATTCAAAAAAAGAATTGTTAGAAAGTGGAGGGAGAACATTAACCACAATCACTATTAACTACAGTGGCTGCAATAAGCAGAACTTCCATATTCCAACAGGGCATACCTCAAATTATTATTGCACAACTGGGCCGCCACTTACCAGTTGAAATGAGAAATTCTGGTGGTCCTGATCTTATCAAACTAGAGTAGGAGGTGAGCAAGCTGGCAAAGGAGGTTGTCCAGATTTATAAGCCACCTTGGGTCCTTTTGAGGAGAAAGGAGGGGTACAACATACAGTGGACCCTTGACTTACAGACGGCTTGACTTACAGACTTTTTGAGTTACAGACTTCTCTGGCCGCAAAACTTAGGTTTGACTTGCAGCCTGAGAATTGACTTACAGACCAGAAAAAAACCAAAATGGAACAAAAACGGCCTGTTACGGGATTAATCGGTTTTCGATGCACTGTAGGTCAATGGAGACTTGACCTACAGTCTTTTTGACCTGCAGCCACCGTTCCAATACGGATTCATTCTGTAAGTCAAGGGTCCACTGTATTTTAAATGAATAAATACTGCAATCAGTACAGTGGTACCTCGACTTACGAACGTCCCTACTTACGAACACAAGAGGTTTGATGTAGTGTGGGAAAAGAAAAACAAGCCAAGAAGAAGTGGTGGTGGCGGGCAAGGGCAGATGAACAGACACAAATTTAAGACCACACTGGATCCTAAGAGTCTGAGTTTGGCACCCGGACTGTCCACAAGTGAGGTCACTCCGCTTGCTGAGGCTCCTCTTGTTGGCCGAATGTCTCTCTCTGGCTACATTTAATTCATTCATTGTGTGTCATCACATCAATGTTGACTTATGGAGATCCTTTTCAGAGTTTTCTAGGTAGAAAGGACATGGACGTGGTTCTCCTGGGACTGTGTGGCTTTCCACACAGGCTGACTCTTCTTGGGTGCACAACAGGGAATTGAACTTCCAGCCTCTGGCTCATTCATTCATTCTTCATTCATTCATTCATTCATTCATTCATTCGATTTATACCCCACCCCCCCTAGACAGCGTCTACTCGCTACTGGCTCCAGATGCCTAACTCCTTGAACTAGCTAGCTAGCTTCTGGCTAGATTAAAGTACATAAATAAATTTGGGATTTCAGCCCCTTCTTCCTCTCAATGTCATTGCCAGCTGGCACATGTAGCATGCCAAATAAGGGGGTGGTGGTGTCTCCATAGGAGATGGGTTTATGACACGTGCTTGTCCAGTCTATTATGAGCAGACCTTCAAGTGAGGAGATGCAACAAGCTTTTGGCCAGAAAGGCACAGACTAAAATGATGGAAGGAAGGTTTGGATTTTGTGCCTGAGAAGAGGGCAGGATGAAGATATTCTTGTTTCTGCTCACTTTCCCATTGCTAGCCAGGGCTAGCTCTAAGAAGACAGTAATCATAGGCATGAGGTTGGAGAAGAGCACCAAGCCAGGGGCTGGCAACTTAGAAAATGGCATGGTTCAAGTGGTAGAAAGAAGTGGAATCTATCTTCGAATTTATGGGCAAGGCATCAATGAGCTCATCTGGCAGGTTGTCTATTTTGGGGAGATGCTGGGCTCAGATAGAGCCGCTGGAGTTCCTCACGAAGACGCCTGCCGTGAAAAGACCAGTGACTTGCGGGTCCTTCCACGTGCTTTCAAGGTACAAGAAACATCTGCAGTGCTGGCTGTGATTGTCCAGACTCTGCAAAAGGAAATCCACTACAAGGACTATGTGCTGTGCCTTGCGGACAATCCCGAACCGCCACAACATCAACGTGGGGGCCACCATTTGCACCTCCGTGTAGTGGAGGAAGAGAAATGGCACCTTCCTCTCTGGCTTCATATCATCTTGCTCGTGGTCTTCCTGGGACTCTCAGGTATGTTCAGCAGCCTTGTCCAAGGCCTGATGTCTTTGAATCGCCTGAAACTACACATTTTGCAGAAGAATGGCACGGACGACGAGAAGATATACGCTTCTAGAATTCAGTCCCTCCGCGAGAAGGGCAATTACCTGCTGTCCTCTTTGCTGATAGCTAATGCCTTAGTCAAATACTCTGTCATCACATTGTTTAACCTTCTGATTGGCACCACTGTGGTGGCTATTGGCATCTCATTTTTTGCCATGTTCCTGTTTCAGAAGATAACCCCACAGGCTGTCTGGTGCCATCATGGCTGGGCCGTGACCACCTTCATTACCCGTGTTGTCATGTGGCTGACATTCCCAGTCTCTTATCCCCTCAGTAAAATCTTGGACCGCATGTTTGGTAAAGATCTAGGCACTACCGGCACCGAAGAGGACCTGAGTCCAAAAGAGCGGAACACCATCCAAGGAGCTGTGGGGCCGAGCACTAAGACGGTGGAAGATGTCATGACTCGATCAACACAGAAGCCACCTTGTTTTTGATGCAGTGACAGACGTTATGGAGAGCGGCTATACCCGTATTCCCGTCTATGAGAAGGAAAGGATTAATATTGTGGATATACTGATGTGATCGGGTTCTTCATGAGCTGGTGACGGTTCCCACATTCTGGCGGGAATAAGAGACGATTTCAAAAATTCAATCGGTTCTATTTTACGAACTTCAACATCATGATCAACCAAATTAAAAGGCTCGAAACCACTCAGTTCTGGCAACGTCTTGTAACTCAGCGTTTTGGTTCCTGGGGTAAATAGGTCACTCCTCACCTTGGGGCTGGACCAAACCACTCGCGATCGGTCACTTCCCTCAAAGGGGCGCTCCTTACTGCACACACTGGATCCAATGGTCGCTGTAGGTTTTTCGGGCTGTTTGGCCATGTTCTGGGGGTTTTTCTTCCTAATATTTTGCCAGTCTCTGTGGCCAGCATCTTCAGAAGACAGGAGTCAGGACTCAGAGAACACAGACAGAGTTCTAACTCCTGTCCTCTGAAGATGCCGGCCACAGAGACTGGTGAAACATTAGGAAGAAAAACCTCCGGAATCAACATTTTTGATTATGTGCTACACTAGCCAAGATCACAGGCAGGAAGGTCATGCTCGTAATCCATTAATAATAAATACATGCGTGGATCTATAAAGAGACATGAGAGAAAGAGGAACTGCAAAGCCCAACTTCTGTCTGGTAGTTTTGCTGATTTCTCTTTCCAAATCCCATTCCTACCCAGATAGTACAGGAAGTATTCTAGAAGCCAGAAGGAAGAATGTATTTAGCCACAGGGGTCCAAACGTCTGAAAGGTGGGCTCCAAAATGTGCCTTTGACCTGGAGTCACTTTTTCCTTCCTCTGGTGAAGGTTGTGCATTTGTTCACGAAGCACGATCATGAAATATCACTATATTTCCCCCACCTATTTGCTTTTGGCCCTGAAAATTGGCCAAACCGGTCTCTTGATGCTAGTTTCGTAGCCTCTGCCTCCCTCTGCCGTCCGAGAGAGAAATAACCTCCAATGTTCTGTCGTGCAGGGGACGCACCGGGCAAAGCGGCCGCCTGAGCCGGCTGTGCAGCTACATGGGCAGAAGGGGTTGCCAAGTATTAATGGCTGAGGTGAGGCAAGATTGGTTTCAAAGCCTCTCTTTCGCTTAGCTGACCCTGCAAAGAACAATTGACAGGTTCATGTCCCAGCATGAGACGGCCGCTCTTTTAAGGAAAGATCATTCTTGATTGCGTGACGGCTATCGTTTCATTGGTTTTATTGATTTTTGTTGTATGCATTGCCCATGTGTTTTGGGGGGATGAAAGCAATGCTGACTTAAACCCCTGAGCTGCCCATCACCACCATCATCACCATCATCATCATCAGCAGCAGCATCTTAGAACTGCAGAGCTGGAAATTACCCTCTGAATCATCATGGAGTCCAGCCCCTATCAAGGAGGTGCTGTGGGGATTCAAACCCCCCACTCTCTGGCTTCGCCAATTCCTACTCCAGATGGATGGCGTTTCGTCAGAAG